AGGGAAAGACTTGGTAAAAGCAGTCCAGAATTTCTTTGGAACCGGTACACTACTTGGGCAACTCAATGCAACCATCATCACCCTCGTTCAAAAGAAAACAGGCGCAGTTTCTCTTACTGATTATCGACCAATCAGTTGTTGCAATACGGCCTACAAGGTAATTTCAACACTGCTTGTCAAGAAGCTGAAGAATATTTTGCAGTCTGTAATATCGCAGAATCAAGCGGCATTTCTTCCAGGCAGATCGATGATAGAGAACATTTTGCTCGCTTCAGAACTTGTCCGTGACTACAACAGACCTTCTTCACATGCTGCTGCCATGCTTAAGATTGACCTGAGGAAAGCATTTGACACAATTAGTTGGGACTTCATCATTGAAACACTACGAGCTCTGAACCTGCCGCCAGTCTTCGTGGGTTGGATTGCAACCTGCATCAAGACACCCAAATTCTCAATAGCGATCAACGGTGAACTTGTCGGATACTTCAAAGGTAGAAGGGGGTTGCGCCAAGGGGACCCACTGTCCCCATACCTCTTCATCCTATCGATGGAAGTTTTATCAAGAATGTTAGACAAAGGGGTGAAACTGCAGAAAATTAAGCCTCATCCAAAGTGCCTAAACCCATTAATCTCACATCTGTCATTTGCAGACGATGTGATGATATTTTCTAAAGGAGAACTAAATTCGCTTGAGGAAATCACGAAGACTCTGGAATTATTTGGGGATTACTCAGGATTGAAAATAAATCCGACAAAGACCGAGCTCTTCATAGGCGGGTTGGGGGACATTCAGGCAGATGAACTCTATGCGGCAGCAGGATTCAACCGAGGGAAACTGGCAGTGAGGTACTTAGGTGTACCCCTAAGCCCTTGGAGCCTATCTAAGCATGACTATCAGCCTCTGCTTGACAGAATCAAGGCAAAATTGAACTTTTGGGCCAACAAATTCCTATCGGCAGCCGGGAAAGTACAATTGATCATATCAACAATATATGGTATGGTGAATTCATGGAGCTTGACATTTATATTGCCACGTTTCTTTGTCAAGCAGGTGGACAGTCTATGCTCCTCATTCCTTTGGAGGTCTGGAGGAACAGGGACACCGATGCATAGGATCTCTTGGGAAGACATCTGCCACCCGCAGAAAGAAGGAGGATTGGGTTTACGTAGACTTGATGAGTACAATGCCACTTTCAGATTGAAGCTTATTTGGGCAATGTTTGCAAATTCAGGCTCGTTGTGGGTTGCTTGGTTGAGAATGCACATATTTAAGGCCAAAGGATTCTGGGAAACAATCACATCCAATAGACTTTCGTGGAACCTCAGGAAGCTGTTGGAAATAAAGGAAACAGTGAGGAGAATGCTCAGGTTTCAGATCGGCGATGGGAAGACGGCTAAATTCTGGCATGATACGTGGACTGAATTCGACCCATTGATATCTTTTATTGGGGAATATGGGCCCAGACTTCTTAGGCTACCTCGAAACGCCACAATTAACCATGCTTCGGATGGAACATTTTGGACTCTCCCAGGTGCGAGAACAGATAACATACAGCAGTTGCAAGTCCTATTAGCGGGGATGGAAGCACCGAGAGATGACAGGGGTCCAGACACTCCTCTGTGGAAACATGCCGATAATGACTTCCGGCCACAATTTTCGTCGTCAAGAACTTGGGGACTGATTCGCATAGCCAAACCGCAAGTACCATGGCATACTTTGGTTTGGTTTCGTGAATCAATACCTCGATATGCTTTTATTCAACGGCAGGTGATGCATAGCAGGTTACCAACTAAAGACCGGTTGCTAAGATGGGGCATAGTAGGGGACAACACGTGCGTGTTATGTGGCGAGCAAGGTGAATCGCATCAGCACCTCTTCTTCAAATGTAGCTACAGCAGCCAACTATGGACATATTTTGCAGCTTGTTGCTGGCCAAACCCTCCGGATGATATTGCCGACGTGAATGCATGGATAGGACAGCCGAGGAATGACAACTCAAGGGATCAACGGACCATTGCAAAGCTATTTGCCCAAGTAGCTATCTATGAATTATGGAGGGAGAGGAATCATCGCATACACCGCGATACCACAAGGACGGTTGCAGCAATACGCTGGAAGCTTGACAGGACAATTCAAAGCATCTTATTGGCCAGGAAAGAACAGTCGAGAAGTACTGACTCAGCCATTTTGGAACACTACTATCTACTCACCGAGAGAACAAGAACGTGATAACTAGAGAGAAATGTTGCTACAACTAGTAACTTTTGTACTACTTCTCATGGGTTACCTATGTTTTTTATTATAGAAACTATCTGGATATAAATTTTGAACTACATATTAATACAAATCACCATTACCAAAAAAAAAATAATGTTATGAGAGAACTATATTTTTTTTTATATTTCCTATTTATTATTTATATTTATATTATAGGTTAAGAGAGAAAAAATGAATGACATAATACATATATATTCGAGAGTATTTTTTATCATAAATTTATAGAAATATAAATTTCACAAGTGTGGAAAAAAATATATAGAACTTGAATTGTTGGAGTTTTTATAGTTTCTAAAATCTAAAATTTTATAAAATTACTTTTTCTATAATTTTGAAAGGTTATTGTGGTAACCAAAAACTAATTGTTTTTTCAGTTTATAAATAAAAATTTAAGATCTAAAAACGGAAAAACATACTGAAAATTCGAATTTGCACAAAATTCGAAAATTTCCAGTAAGGTAACCCTTGCGACCCGACTATGTCACTTGTGGTGTTTTCCCTATTCAAATAGCATTTCATCTCCCTTGTAATTTTCCCCTCAAGTCACACCCCCAAAGCATCGTTTCTTCTTCTTCTTCTTCTTCTTCTTCTTCTTCCGGGTCTCGTCCAGTCGTCGTTTTCGTCTCTGGGTAGAAAAATGGCGTCGCACACGCTCTCATATCTCCCGATTGCTGTATCCAACCCTCGAATCATGGCTTCGAAACGAATCGAATCTCCGGTTTCTTCTTCCCCAATTCCTCTCAGTTCTCCTCTGGGTAAGAAGCTTCTGGTGACAGCTCCAAAACGCTGCGTTTTCGTCCCCAAACGCCGTTGCTTGACGGTCTCTAGTACTGCGTTTAGTGTCCCAACAGGGTGAATTTCTGATTACCTTGCGTTTTCTACATCCTTTTCTCTGTTATCTTTTCGGTGGAAGGTTCGATTGATTGCTAGGTTGGTTTTTTTTTTTCAGACAACCGGAAAAGGGTTCTTCGGATAAGGTCCCCAAGTGAGTCTCACACGTTGTTTGTTGCGTTTGTGTCTGTGATTGCAATTTGTATTTTGGATGGATTAGATTCCTTTGGTTTGATCCTGGTTTTGTTGGAGGGTTCATCTATTTGATTTAGATGGTCGGCGAGGGCGATAAAGGCGCGTGTTATGGCGGAATTGGAGGCTAGAAAGCTCAAGTATCCGAATACCGGAACCGAAGCCCTTCTCATGGGTATTTTAGTGGAGGGTTAGTGTTCTTTATGCTTCTGAGATCCAATTTTTACTTCAGTTTCTTGCTTGTAGAATGCTGTTGTTGGGATTCTTTATGTTGTGCTTCGAAATCTACTTGAAATTTTTTAACATAAACTGTATACGCTCATCCTGACGAGTCTCACGACATGTTTTAATTGGACTGGAAAGGTTTCATCTTTTCTGTCTTAACTTCGAGCCTAGTTCACAGACAAGAATAGCTATGGGATGTTGTTCTGATGGAATGATAATTTTTGGGGATGAGGTTTTTTGGGTCTTTGTGTTCTGACTGGTAAACAACTGAATGATCTGTACATTCAATTGTGGAATGCTCATGCTGTTTTCTAAAAATGAGTAAGCAAGAAGGTGTGAGTTCACCTTTATCACCAGAAGAGAGTTTTTGTTGATGAGCTCAGCCCACTAGGAAGAACAGTTGGTCTACTTCATTTTCCATTGTGTGTTTTACTTGTGTAATGAAATCTTCATTATGGTTTGATTTCAGGTACTAGTATAGCTGCTAAGTTTCTAAGGGAGAATGGAATTACACTCTTTAAGGTTCGTGACGAGACACTTAACCTGCTGGGGAAATCAGACATGTATTTCTTCAGCCCGGAGCACCCTCCTCTGACTGAACCGGCTCAAAAGTCCATCGATTGGGCCGTCGATGAGAAGACGAAGTCTGGTGGGCATAAAACAAACAGCCCAAATCCTGAAATATCCGATTTCTTGCCCAATTTCCATTTCCACGCATCTCCAGTCTCGCTAAAATGAGTTTTTTCTTCACAGGTATAGATGGGGAAATAACCACAGCCTACATGGTTCTGGGTATTTGGGCTCAAAAGCAATCAGCAGGCCACAAGATTTTGGAATCACTGGGCTTCAATGACGAGAAGGCCAAAGAACTTGCTAAAGTGGTAAGTTCTGGAACACTCTCCTGAAGCTGACACTGAAACTAAAGGATACAACATATCTTCATATAGTCACTGATGTATATATCGGCTCATGTTCCATGCAGATGAATGATGAAATAGTTTTGAGCTACAAGAAAAAGGGACGATAAACAGATATAGGATGTTCCGTGCTGATGAACAATGGGTTCGTTCCAGAATGTTGGATCAGCAAAAACTTCCTTTTAACTGCACATGATTCAAATGTGGATCTCAACAAGATGTGAACTTCTTGAAGGAAAAAAAGGTCTGTCCAACAAGAGATTCTCATTATTTGCAGTGATATATTATAAAGTGAACTCGTTTTCAAACTTTTGCTTCAGTTGTTTTCTTGTGATTTTTCCCACAAGTAATTTTATTCAGGCGTTCATCTCATTGCTTGTAACTTTCATTACTGAAATCTGTGATATATGCTCTAGATGGAGATGTAAAATGGACTAATTCAATGGGTGTTTTGCGAGTCGGCCCATTTTATTTTTTGGGCTAGACTCAGAAAATTTGAATCCGAAAATAAACGAACCGAACGAGCCAACTCGTCACGTGACGTGCCAACTCAACGAGTCAATGAGCCAGGTTTTTGTTTCCAAATATTTTTATATAAAAATTCTGTTTTTAATAGATATTTGGTTTGTTTTGTTTAAAATTTTATTATATTTATAATATTTTAAATATTTTTTAGTATTTAAATTTTATTTTTTTAGTTATGTATTTGGTTCACGAGACTATTCGTTTGGCTTGTGATCTACATTAAATCGGGTCGAGCCAAATAATTTTTGGTTCGCCAAAAAATGAGTCGGGCCGGGTTGAGTTACAAACTTTTGAGATCGTGGCGGGCTGGATTGAATCGGGCCGAACCAATTCGCTTTGCATCTCTAGCTTTTGAATTTCAAAGGGCAGGCCCCGAAATCTTCTACTGTTCTTTTTCTTTTTGAATACGGTTAGAACATGAATCCTCTCAAGGTAAGTTATTAGAGAGAACAAGGTGCTACTTACATGATTGTAATAGAATCCAACTTGCGAGGAGTGTGATTTAGCAAAGCATGCAGATGCTTCATGGGCGTTATGGTGCGGTCCACCACACAATATAGCCCCACACGTGCGCATATTCGACCCAAAAAACAGAAACGCAAAATCAGTCCCAAAGGAAAATGGTCGAAATGTTTATACAATTTACAAAGAAAATCATATTACATGTTTTCTGTCTACCAAAGTCGCAGCACTCCTCCCTCTAATTGTGCTTCTCAACTCTCCATCTTTGTTTCTTTAGGTCTTTTTTTGTGGGGTTGGAATTTAGACATGCAAAAAACATGGGGGTCGTTTCCGAAAGTTCCAATTCATAGTGGGAATATTTGTAAATATGGCAAATCTAAATGAAACATACATGCAAAAAACATGGGGGTCGTTTCCGAAAGATCCAATTCATAGTGGGAATATTTGTAAATATGGCAAATCTAAATAAAACATCTTACCATACTTCCCCTAAATATCGCCACCAAAGAGAGACGATCAAGAAAACGAGTAGAATTTTGTATGACTCGACAATAGGATCATGGGCGGACCTAGAGAAATATTTAGAAGGGGCCCAATCTAATTTTAATATTCTATATGGGGGCATTTAACAAATTTATTTAAAATTTTATAAATTTTATAAAGAAACTTAATATGTTTTTATGAAATCACTGAGGGCACGTGCCCCATTCCTCTTGTCTTGCGTCCATCCCTGAATAGGATGTATCGTTTGTATCATATGTTGAAAGCCTTGAGACGAGTCATCCTTTAAATTCAACTGCATTAACGTCTGGTAAATCGGTTGAAAAAAATAGATGAATCATTCATCTATAGCACAATAGCATATTTTCACAGTTCCATTCTTATGAAGGCCCCAACAATATCTCTCGTATTACAAAGATGACGAATCTCATTTTAATTATATATTATCTCCACATGACTCGTCGGTAGATTGCATCCAATGGGTCTCGATTTGATTACAAACCGAAAATTAAATCATTTTCCAAACCGGTAGTTTAAATGATTAACCAAACAGTTCGATTGGTTAAACAAATTTCATCTATATATTGGTAACAATGATTTTTATTTTTTATTTCCTTATAAATGAAATTTTAACTTTTTGCGTCTAACCGAATATAAATTCGAAAAGGTCAGACTTAATCTCTAAACCAATCACAAACCGAAACAAAATAATAACCGATTAACCAAACCGGGAGACAAATCTCCAACTACTTTTCACCAGCTCCAGCTCCCATCTCTCTCTCTCTCCGTCGCCATTGTTTCCGTCGAGATCCGTCTATGGACGAAGAAACTATAGCTGATTATTTGATAGGCTCAACAAGATGCTTTTGAATTAGTTAAAGAAGTGTGCGATATCGATCATTTCCCTACTCCTTCTTTCCCCCGCCTCCGGACACCTTAGTTTCGGTAATTCGAATGAAATTGTCTAGTTTTCGAAGAGAGAAGGATTGGACCGAACCGAGTTGTCGAAGCGAAAAAAGTTCAGAACACAACTTGGATCGGCCCAAAGTTAATCTGATCTGACCCAAGTTTTGTACAAAACTTATTTCGCCTCTTCGGAAGCCATGAATTGAAAAACAAGCTTAGAAGATGTCGCCTAAGGTTATGAATAAAAACCACAGACATCCTAGAAGAGCAGGAGAGGTCTTGTAAGAGAAAGACAGGAGTTTCAAGTGTTAGAGGATATTGTTGGAGCTATTTTCCTAGTTCCTGGTTTGTTAGAAATGTGTATTTAAGACTTGGTAATTTGTGTTCGTACCACTTTATTCGTGGTTTGGTCCAAGCTGAGAAACTTTGCATCATTCATGTATCTTCGGTTGATCAACTCGCCGACGCTCTGAACAAGACTCTTTCGAAAACTCGGTTTAAATTGCTCCATACCAAGATCAGTCTCTCACCCATGTCCGATCTTGCGGGGCATGTTAGAGGATATTGTTGGAACTATTTTCCTAATTTTTGGTTAGTTAGAAGTGTGTATTCAAGATTTAGTAATTTGTATTCTTAGAATTTTATAAACTATTTATTCTATGCTAGACTATGTTTTATTATGTATCATTATTATCATGTGTTAGAATGTTCTTAGTAGTGTGTATATATATATATGTGTGTGTGGTTTTGTAGCATTTTGATATAACAAAAAGCACAAAAATATTCTTTACCATTGGCTTATATCAAGTTTCAGAAAGAAGAAGAACGAGGGTTGAAGGCGTGAACTTGAAGATTGCAATCGATATCGATCATGATCTTCTCTTCTTCCTTTTTCCTTTCATGATTCTTGTTATTTCCTTTGTTTTTTATGAACCGTGAATAGATCAACTTCTATAGATTATAAATTCGTTTGTATTTGGTTATGTGTGGGCTTTTCTTGATTTATGATTTTGTTTTGTTTTGATTTATCCACTTGCGTTTAATTATATTGTGATTGATGAACAATAGTTATAGAATTTGAACCATATAGAGATATAAATTTAGATTCAAATAAAAAATCGATGAATAAATCGTATTATTCACATATATAGTTTAATCGGTTTAGAATCAATGATAACGTTTTTCATATATCTAGATTTGACAGATCATATAGAAATATGAATTTTGAGGATTTTAAATAGTAGATTCTATGCTGGAAAGTGATTATCATAGATCTTGCATGCTTATTAGAAATCCATTTACTCGAATACAAATCTTGAACCCGAAGATTTTGTTGATTGATAGCTTATTTTTTTCAGTGATCGTTTCGAACCATCATCAACCATCATACTTGTTCTTTGATTTAGTTTCAATAGAGTTTTAATCCTAGCGATCTATCCTTACGTTCGACCTTATGATACGACGATCCATACTGCGATGAAACGTGAATCAGATTACAAATTTAATTCGGTACTCGTGTAACAATCATCTATTATTTGCAAAAAAAAAAAACTTCCACGAGAGCTTCTTTCCCATGGGGCCTCTGAAATGAGATTGGTTCATCTATTTTAACCTATTTCTTCGAGGGCCCTACGTATCCGAATTCTGAAAGAACTCGCTTCCCACGGGGTGACAAGGAGAGCTTGTTTCTTTCGAGTTCCGAGGTTTTAACCCTTCCGGGTCTTAGCATCAGTCGTTGGCAAACGCAAGTTCACATGCGATGGCGAGATGGTCGCTCCCCCATTTCTGCAAAACGGAAAAAAAAAATCAGAAGAATAGACTTGGAGGAAAATGTTCAAATCTCAAAACACAGTATGTAGTTTGATTCAGAAGGAACTTGTAGCTAAACAAAAGAGATCAGGGGAGAGCATTTTTGAAGACCAGCACAGCAAAAGTTCCTTATCCAACCACAAATTTTCGGAACAAAGAGTACAGATGCTTGGTAGTGGTGCAACTAATCCAACAGGATAAAAGGTTCCAACAAAACAGAGTGGCTTAGACATACCTCACTCGGTAGTCCCCGGGATCTTTTCAACTCATCAATTGGCAAGGATTCAAGAACCCTAACAGTAACAAGTTGTTCGGTGTGCCTGCACGAGAAACTCAGATAACAAAAAAAATTAGCATTTCATAGCTAAACAGGTACTGAAATCACTGCATGATCATCGTACTTAACCATATATAATCAACTGTTCCTAGGAATCTGGAATGATATGATGTTGCCAACGGCTCGCCAAGATGATCTCTTGTTCTTCCAGTACCCTGAAACGTATCGGCTATTGACATATTAGGAAAAGAACATGATCTGACAAAATTATAGATTCTGGTTCACAGTTTTACTGCCAGTATTTACTATTTAGTATATTCATCACCTTCCAATAAACAGTAAGATCGATTGCATCTCAATACTATGCAACCCAAACTATATATTAAGCTCCGAGAAAGGAAAACATGTTCTTGAGGTAAAAGGATCTTGGACCGCTATGTTTTCTTGTCTTAGAAAAACGAGAGAGATTCAACTTTTTGAACTTGGCTTCTGGAAACACATCAGATCAGTAGTTTAGGAATCTTTAAGGTAAGGTTTGGCTGTCCCAGTGCACACAATTGAATACCCAGATTCTGATATATTTGGTATCCAAAACTGAACCGGATATTAGACATCTCTAAAGCTCCTCACTCGTGCTTCTAATCTAACCATTGAAAAATTTTAATTTAGAAAATATTATAGAGTAATTTATATGGTGTAAGTGTAACAGATATCGTTCAGACATTTGAGCGCCCAAAAACAAACATTTTGGAGCCTCTGTTAATGCGGAAAACAAAAAACAAAGACAATCACTTACGGGAGCTCTGGTATATGCACTTTGGAGCTTCAGTTGGTGTTGTACGTGAGTACATTCTTCACTACCAGTTGCGAGACGTAGTTCTTCGCTGGTCCACTCATAACTTAATGATCTCGAAATGGGCATTGTGGCACTGCACAAAATGGAAAATATTTAGTTTGTTTCACGTTCATCAGAAATCTTAACAAGTTCACTCAGTAACAAAGATCTATGTCATCCTGACCTATCAAATAAAGTAAATTACTTAACCGATTCCAACTAAAAAGTTCCATAACACATTTATTTTATGCTTCCTAGAGTATTTTGGTAAAACATAAATTACCCACGGAAAACAAGTCTCTAAATGAAATTCCATTACCTAGCAGCATAACGATTGTTCCATCTAAACAACCTCTGCTTTGATTGAATTGATTCTAATTCAAACTGACCAGAAATCTGTCTTCGGTCGTGGAGTTGCATGTCCAACTGTCCGCAGAGCATGTATAAACAGACAAGCAAATGTATTGAGTTGGAGAATCATTGTAACTTTGCCACGGGGCTACAAGAAAAAAGTTAACATATGTACTGTACTGGAACCCAAAACAAACTCACCTTAGCTGAAGCCATGAACTCGTATATTGCGCTCTGACCACCATATTTTGATGAATATTCAGAATAATGATAGTAAGTAAAGAGGAAATTTCAAACAAGACCATCAATCTGTTCATGTCACCAGCAATTAACATAAAATTCCACCTTTGGGGTGCTATTCATATCACCACAAATTATCACCGGAGTATTTCCCCATTCTTGTGATAGCTTGTTAGCCTTCTCCAGCAAGAGTCTGACCTAAAAGTTTTAAATTATCCAAACCAAAGATAAAAAACACAGTGAAAAAATATATTTTTTTTCGAGGAAGGAGAAAGAGCTGCTTAGTGGGACAGCACTTGCGGAGAAGTTTGCGTTTAACTGACAGGCATTCACATATATATGATTAATACCATGCATGAAAACTCGTCAGAGTTTAATCAGACTCGGAGTACCAACATTCTAAACAAGGGATGTATACAAAGGACTGTGATCTTGGGATTGAATGGAATTTCATAAGCATGTGGAGAAGAAGCTAGCAAGTAATACCTGACCTAGCTTGATATCTCCACGCTTAGGGTTGAAGAGGACATGTATATTTCCAACCACTAGTCTACGAGAACCTGTAGATGCTGGCCTAGAACTGCACACAAATCATAATATGCGATGGTACAATTTAGTAAACACACTAAGAATATCTGTCATCCTCGCTTTAAGGAACAGACGCAGAAAAAGAACACAGACATACTTTGACTGTTGCACACATAATTTAGATTCGGAGTCCTCATGGTTCATCTGTTAAGTGATACATGATTGAACACGTCAATTGATTGGCAGGTCATGGTTATGTTGTAGATCAACCAAAATTATGAATGAGATATACCTCCAAAACACAAAGTTGAGCAACATTGTTTCGCAGGCCAAACCTCTCGAACTCTATATCTTGATGGTGCAAGAGTTTAAACCTGTGTTCAGAACAGCAAAAAAGAAAAAAGAATTGAAATACATATTGCAAATTGTTAAAACAATTGTGGTAAGTCCTCACTAACAAAAACCACATAAACACAGAAATTCTGAAAAAAAAAAAGAAGACAAAGCTATGAACTATTCTCCGTTAATCAAAAATCAAATGACAGCGCACCATATCGGAAGATCCATCATGAATTGGCTGAGAGCAGAAAGGAAAGAAAATAAATAAGCAAATATAGATTCTATCATTCTAATGCCCAAATAGGTGGATAAAATATGCATCAACTTGCTGTTTGAGAGATATACCCTCCTAAAGACTCAGAGAGTTTGATGCATGTTCCAGCATTAATAGACCAGCAATACCACTAAATGATCTATTGTAAGCATTAGCTGAACTTACAGTTTCTCTTTCCAGAATATAGCACAACCATCAGATGCTTCTCCAGTGCGACTCTAGAAAATATCAGTTGAAACAGTAAAAGAACGCATATAATGCATATGAGGCAGGTAAGATTTGGCTTATATATACCTTGTGAACACCCTGAAATCCAGATTTCTGAAGAAGACCATCTAGATCATCAAAGCGGTCAACCTCCTGCAGTTTGATTGGAATATAAGAAAGCAACAAGACAAAAATATCTTACCGCACACTGTCGGACTCGGACATCAACACAGATAAACAACTCAGGCAACTGTTCTAAGCTCTAGGCATGCTTTCTTTTCTATTAACAAAAGACAAATCATTTCTCAGGCATAGGAGGAATCATTTAGTTAACCACTACAAAAGCGGATATACAATTATTTTACAATTGAACCAACTTACATATCATATACAACTATAGGAAGCGGATATTCCTTGCTGCTCACCATAAACATTCATCAAAAGAAAAAAATTGCTATTTTCTCCATATCTAACGCAGTCTCCATGCTAAAAACCTTATATAGTACAGACAGATAAGGACCCCATGACTTGCCTGAAGACATAAGATGCTTGCATTGTAGCGACTAATCTCCTTGCATATGAGGTGTTTCCGTCTGTTCCACTCCAAGCACTTGGCCGGAACATTGAAGTATAAATCCATGTGGTTTGATGCATTGTCAACACCAAGTAGATTGTAAGAAACAACAACCACTTTATCTGAAAAACGAAGAAGAAAATTCAGACAGGAAAAGTGATATCATCACCTAGTCATACAAAAGCAACGATAGCATTTTCATAGAAGCATTAGCATTTACGTAGCGTTGACGTGAAAATATAATCTTAATTTACCAGCAACTTTCTTAGCTAAGCAGAAACAACAATCAAGATGCAAGAGACAAATAAATCCAAAAGATTCTAATGTTCTCGCAGCCCGCCTTGTGAGAAGAAGATGATCAGTATAATACAAAAGCTCAAAATCTAAATTTGTCATCCTTTAATCTAAACAAGAACTAGAAACCAAGAGACCAATAGAAAGTCAGTGGCTTTCCTTTTCAGAAACTATTTCGCAATTCCACAATTCAGATTTCATGTTAAATTTCCAGGAATGTGAATGTACTTCATGAAGCTAATAAAGCATATAACCTTAAAATTTGATTCATTGAAAATCACCCATGGGCTTAAAAGCTTCAAATTTCTTGTAACCTACATACACACAATAGATTACAAATTCAAAAAACCCACAATCATCCAATTTCAACGAAAAAGATCTGTGAATCCAGAATTGAAACACGAGATCCGGAATCATCAATAACAAAGAAGCCAAATATCAATTTCGTACTTCAATAGAACTCAAATTCATACCTTATCATTAACAAATAACGTAAGAGCATCTTGCAATGCAATAAGAACGAGCAGTTGTAGTATATGCGATCGCGTATATACACATATACAGCACACTTAGGCGTTCATACCTTTAAGATTCTTAGAATTGCTTGAAGAAAACACCCACTCGCGCTCAACAGAGCCTGAGATCCTATCCTTTCTTCTTCTGCGAAGCCGACGGCGCGTAAGAGATCGTTGATGCTCTAGGGCTAGGGTTCCAAACGGCCATCGAACTGGATCCCGCTCTTCGCTTACGTTTTCCGGCCGCAGGTGAATGCTCCGCGGTGTTCTGCCGGCGGTCGTATTCTCTCATTCTGAACCAAGCAGGTAAGGACTGCGTAGCTGAATTGCATACGTCCTCCGAATGCCCAACCCCTGTTAAGTGGTAGAAAAACTACGAGAGGCGTGAGGGAAGAGGTACAACAGAGTCGAGATAGGCGAAACAAAGAGGAAATATGGTTGAAGACGATACCAATTGACTGTCAATCTTCGTTTATTTGTCCGAAATTGAATCGTCATTAGGAGGGGTTTTTTACCCAAATAACCACTTGGTTCATATCTATTTCACCTGTATACCACCAAAAACATAACACATTTTTTTTCCTGTGAAAAGACGAAATTACCCTTAATGAATTACGATATTTATCCGTTCGAAAACAACTTCGTTATTACGACTTCGTAATTAAGTCTAAATATAATTACAATTGATTCTAAAAAAGGTGGCAAAAAAATCATCTGTCTTATTTTAGCTGTATATCAGTTATATGTTAGTCGTAATAAGGTCGCAAAAAATAAAACGAAAAGGGTATTTCGGACTTTTCCAACCGAAAAATGGGTTAAAATTGAAAAAAAAAAAATTTTGGTGGTGTACACTGAAATAGATGCGACCCAAGTGGGTTATTTGGGTGATTTTCCCCATTAAGAGGACAAAGGAGAGACCAGGTTTTAAAGGTAAAGCTAGGTGTGGGCGAATGGTCGGTTACGGCTTCGTCACTTCAGCTTAGTTCGATTATTTCGAGTTATTAAAATTCATAATTAAACGGTTAATTAATTTTATTCGGTTCGATTCGGTTCGATTTCAATTCGATTTGGTTCGGTTTTGTCTATTTAAAACTATAACCAAACTATAACCAAATAAAGATTCGGTTTGGTTCGATTATAATATTTAAAAAATCAATTCATTTGTAATTAAAAATATTCAAATAAAATATAATATAAAATATTATCATAATTATTTTAACATACAAAATAATAATATCTAAATTTATATTTTGATATAAAACTATTAAATAAATAAAGATAGATTTTAAAAACAATAATAATAATGATAAAATACGTTTAAAATATAATAAAGTAATGATTAAATCAAGAATATAAACAATCATATATGTATATAAATATATATAAATGAAGATATATAAACTATTCGGTTCGGTTATTTCGGTTTATAAAAATTTATAACCAAACGGTTAATAATTTTTAATCAGTTCGGTTTCGGTTATTTCGGGTTTTAAAAAATCTTAACCAAACGGTTATTTAATTTTATTCGGTTTGATTCGGTTCGGGTATATATCGGCCGACTTGGTTAATAATTGAAATACCCGAACCGAATGACCACTCCTAGATACAGGCTATCGCGAGAGTTATGAAGTGAATACTTCGATGCTGAGTCGTCATCGTGAAATACAAGTGTATCGAAAATCTATATATATTAATAAAGAAGTTTAAAGAGATTTTGGTGAGTACATATTTTGTAAAAGTTAAAATAATTTTGTAGCGATTGTAAAAGTTGTGCAAATCTTCGCTCACGTGAAATTGAAACGTGTTTGGAAAAAATAAATATTCGTGATAAACTAAATAAATATAATAAATATAGTTAAAGTAAATAAATAAATTAAAATCTTAGTATTTATCTTTTAATCATATCTGTATAACTTTTAATAACATAATTCAAATCTATATATATAATAATAAGGTTTAAAGGATTATGGTGAAAACACCTAAACATCCACTTTCTCATCCATATGGCATTTTTTTTAAAAATTTTAATTGGCTCTTAAAATCTTTATTTGTAAGTCATGATGTATATGATGTAAATGGAGAAATGCACTAATGATGATAAAGACGAATTTTAAGTTTCAGAATATTGATTTTAATAAATATTTTAAGTTATTGAATATTAAAAAGTCATTAATAGTTCTATATATATAAAAGTCATTAATAGCCACTAACGATTGAAATGTTTCACTGTATTATATTAAAATTCTTTATTACATAACAATGAAACGGTTCCTTTACTATTCTATACGAAAGAACGAAGAGATTTATGTGATCGTGTGTGACGGAGTAAATAGAGATATTAAGGACATTTAATTAGTAGAGTAAAAAATTAAAAAGAAAATTAAAACAAAAAAGTTTTTTTAAATATATAAATATAATCTGTCGCTTCAAAATGATTTTTCTCTGTTGCAAATGAATATGATATCTTTTTTTTTTGTATGAATGAATATCGTACTTATTTTACTACTTTACAAGAATATTGATAGGAAATGTCTTGGGATTTGATTCTAAGTTGTCTTTGGTGATTGCTATTATGGTTTTGCAGGTACTTTTAGTAAGAAGGTGACTCGAACTGGCAAAAAATTTCTCTCCACATTTAGCTATGAAAATGAGGGGCCTCCTTTGACGTATGTTTATATCTCATCTGCTCTATTATTACCGTTTATTCCTTAGTCATCATTTGTTTATGAACTACTTTGTTTTTTACACGTTTGTCATCCATGGATGGATATCATGTGGAAAGAGTAATTCATATATGTTGTCAGCTCCGCTGGGTATCTGTCTTTTATTTGCATTGGGTACGTTTTGTTGGACTTGGGTTTATTTTAAAGAATCAAAACGGGTCTAGCCCGTGAGAAGCCCGATCCGTATAAAGTTTAGAAACTTTAAATCTGCAGAATATTAAGAGAATATTCTTGTTTGAATTTGAAATTCAAATTCAAATTCAAATTGGATTCAAATCCGCAGAAAATCTATCAAATATGATTAAGATAAGATTGAAATAATATCAAGATAAAATCAAATTTGAATTTTGAAATTCAAATTGATTTGTTTTGAGATTCTCCCCTCTACTATAAATAGGGGTCTTGGGTTAGCTCATAAAACACACAGAAAAGAAAACAAGCATTCTAGAGAAAAAAAAGAGCATTCACATATTTGCTCATATCTCTCTCTGAGTTCGCTTGGTATTTGGAAAGCTTCTTCCAAATACGCGGTCGTTGTATCCTGGGAGTTCACCGTGCTCCAATAGCCTCGAAGCTTTAGAGGTGGCACGGAAATCGAACTTAAGGAAACTGTGTTTCACAGGCCTCGACAAAACAATCTTTTAATTTCAGGTACTTATCTGGAATCGCTCGAATCGCCGGAGTTTTGCCGTCGTCAACAACCGCCATCGCCAACAGTCTTAAGTTCGAAATGGTTAATACGAGGCAAATTTCTCGGGTAAGTGCCTAAATCTCCTTTTAATTTCGGTATAAAATCTCACACGAATTTGGATATAAAAACAACTAGGTAAAAGAAAATGTTGGAAAAAAAACAAATAGTTGTTTTGTGAAGCCCAAATTGAGTTTAAGGTCCAAATTTAAAATTGAAGTCCAAATTTAAAGAGATTAATTGAAAAGCCCAAAAGAGTAAGCCCAAATTGAAAAGTTTAGTCTTGGCCCAATTTGAAGAGATTAATCTAAAAGCCCATAAGAGAAAGCCCAATATATTTAAAAGTGTTTTGTGAGGAAAAAAAAGAAATATTATTATTTATCTTTTTTGGAAGAAAAGAAAAAGGTTAAACAAAATCGGAAGTAACTTTTCCTGTAAATTGGGGAAACAAGCTTTGTCTTAGCGGGCCGGGTTTGAAGAGGAAGCCCTTTATACCCTCCTCATAGTAAGGACGTGGGAATCGGGGTGAACCCTCCGGCTATCACTGGAAGCGAGCAAAACCAATTTATAAGTTAAGTGAAACTCGGTTTAGTTTATAAGCTTTATGAAAGCTAACAATGATTGGATTTATTCAACAGATCAGTGATAATCCAAGAAATCTCATGGATTCAAATACTGCTCCAGGGAATGAGATTCCTACTATGGATATCGATGAGAATCCTCATATAGCGGAGGGTAAGAACCC